AGGGCCGAGGGGAAAGGGAGGGGGAGGGGGGCGGCGCCGAGAGAATGACATCTCCGGCCGGCCGGCTCCCAGCTTCAGTCGCACCCTCCGATTCGACCTGACAAGTTTGCAGTCCAAACTAGTCTGACACTTGACGTTCCGCACGCGCCGCCCACTAACGCGCGGTGACAGGTGCGTGTTCTTGCACCTTGGTGCTCGCCGACGTCGTGATCCCCGTGATTGTGATTCTAGTGCTAAACGACGCGTTTCTGATTGTGGTGTTGCAGATTTCCTTCGTGGCTTGAAGAGCATTCCCCCTCAAGTTTCGTAGTCTCGTGCCGACTTTGACTCACCTGTGATCGCTGGTTCGATTGCGAGTGCTCACAACAACACCACCACCGTGACTTCAGGACTACTACCGTCGTCGTTGTGAACACTCACCCAGCTTGACCATGGCCGAGACCTCTTCCGCCCTCGTCAACGGCATGTTCAACATCGCCACCGCGGCCACCGCCGGCTGCATGGCCGACTTCGCCACCTTCCCGCTTGACACGGCCAAAGTCCGGCTCCAGGTGAGTGATCCCGTCCAGCAGCTGATCCCGCTGGGAGTGAACTTGTCCCTGCTTCCTCAGTGCAGCCCGTCTAACCGCCGCGTTTGTTTTGGTTTCGCCGACAGATCCAGGGAGTGCCGGCCGCCGCGCCGATGCAGCTGGCGGGCGTGGGCGGGCACCTGCACATGCCCGTGGCCGCGCAGTACGAGGGCCTCGTGGGCACCTTGACGACCATCGCCCGGCAGGAGGGCGTGCGCTCGCTGTACAACGGGCTGAGCGCCGGCCTCCAGCGCCAGTGCGCCTTCGTGTCGGTGCGCCTGGGCATGTACGAGTCCACCAAGAACTTCTACCAGGGCCTCATTGACGGTGAGTGCTACATTTGTTTTTGTTTCGTTTCTTCGATGTGGGCTGTGATAGGGTGCAGAAATATACGGCAGGGCATAGCTGCAGATTGAGTGGGATCGCCGCAGACTTTATCGCGAGCTATCACAGGGAGACTCGTTTGTGGGCGTCTGTCTGAACGTTAATCGTCACTAGTCGCTGTACCGGAAGCTGGGTGGCGCATCGGGGCGCTCGCATCCTGCTTGTTTCACGCCTGACGTAGTTTCCGATGCATCGCAAGTACTCCATGGGGGAGGGGGTATAAACAATAAACAGAACTGGGTTCATGCGCGGGTCGGGGGACTTTACTGTACTGACTGTACACCCTAAACTAATTCGCCCTTCCCTCCGTCTCGCAGGCAACAGGCCCAAGCGCGCCACCGAGGTGCCCAGCATGAACGTCACGAGCCGCGTGCTGGCCGGTCTGACCACCGGGGGGCTGGCCGTGCTGTTCGCGCAGCCCACCGACGTCGTGAAGGTGCGCTTCCAGGCCGCGCCCCCCGGCACCAAGCCCTACCCGTCCACGCTCGCCGCCTACCGCTCCATCGCCGGCGCCGAGGGCTTCTTCGGCCTGTGGAGAGGCCTCGCGCCCAACGTGGCCCGCAACTCCATCGTGAACGTGTCCGAGATCGTGTGCTACGACATCGTCAAGGACGCGCTGCTGATGCACGGCGTCATGAGCGACGGCGTGCCCCTGCACTTCTCCTCCGCCGTGGTGGCCGGCTTCTGCGCCACCGTGGTGGCCTCACCCGTGGACGTGGTCAAGACCCGCTACATGAATGCCAAGCCCGGCGAGTACCGCAGCGCGCTCGAGGTGGCCACCAGGATGGCCTCCAACGAGGGACTCGCAGCGTTCTACAAAGGGTGAGTTCCTACTTGGATCCTGTCAGTTTACCTTTTCTCGTGAAATTTGCAGAGATTTTCTAAAGGTGAAGTGTGCTAATATATCCCCTCCATTTTCTCCCGACAGATTTACGCCATCTTTCTGCCGTCTGGTGTCCTGGAACATTGCTATGTGGATTACTTATGAGCAGCTGAAGGGAGTTGTGCGAAGAATGCGTGAAGTGGAAGTCTAGTCATTTTAAACTGATACTGTATGAAAGCTTTAACTAGAGCTAATTTTAAATTCTCGACGCGACTGTTATGTAATTTATTGTACCTTTAGTTAGTTGTATATGCCATTGTGATTGTATTGGACTGAGTGATTAGTTTTAGATAGCACCTGTATATTTTATCTTTAGCTTAGTTTTATATCTTGTTACTTCGCAGGTCGAAGGTACTTTCTAAATGTATTACGTACTTTTTTCAAAATTTAAGACTGCCACAGGTTGGCGTTAATTGTTAGACCACCTAATTTCCAATTAGTTGTTCATTTGACATTTCTTGACATCTGACATTCTTGTAAAATACTTTTTATCTTTACTTGCTTAGAGTTTTTCATGACAATTTGTAACGGCTTGCCAGCATCGCTTTTATGCCATGTGTTAGGACAAGTTGACCAGTACCTGTGTTATTGTACCGTTGTAAGATAATTATTGTGTATGTATATGCAGTGATAGACTTCATCTTCTGATTTAAAAAATAAAGAAATGAAATTTTATATAGACATTATTTATATTTTAAAAATACTTTCCTCTTCGGCTCTACAAAATAGTTATCATTTAAAACATCATCTACAAAGCGCAGCATAATTTTTATTTAACAAACTGCTTGGAATCTACCAACGAAAAAAATAATGTAGGCAAAGTCATTTTGCGTAATATTCTACATGAATTAGCTAGCTTAGTAAATGGGGCAGTAATAAAGGCAGGGAACAAAGTAATGTAATTGTCAGTTTCAGGCATAGAGCACTTAGCACTGCACACTGAATGTATTTATTCACATGCACAACAACACTGTGTAAAGCGAGGAGTCTTAGATTCATAGTTTTTCCAGTAATGCACATGGTTATAAGAGCCTTGAAGTAAAAGCGCGCAAAACAAGAAGAGAGACTGTGAGCACGACACGCAGTCACGAGGCGGACGCCGGCACCCCGGCGGGCACGGCGTTGGCGCCCAGGCGGGCCACCACGGAGAGCGGGCTGAGCTTGACCATGGTGGGCACCACGGCCGCCGGCCCCTGGGCGGGCGTCATGCCGCCGCCCTGGCCCTGCTGGAGGCCGCCCTGCCCCTGCTGCAGCCGGCGCTGCCGCTCCGTCTCCTCGGGGAGGCTGGCCAGCGCCTGGCACAGGTTGGCGCCCACCTCGCGCAGATGGGCGCTGCTCAGCTGATAGCCCTGCACGAGAACCGAGAGCCGTGACAGCGGTGCCGGTCAGAATGACATTCAAAACGGTATACCGTCACATCAAAAACATTTCGTATCCAACCAAATTGATAGGGTTTGAAGAACTGTATGGGTGGTTTGGGGGCAGTTGCGATGGTAATTTATAAAGTTAATGGCGCGAGTAAGAATAATTTTTTTCCTCCGCGGCTCACCTGGTAGGGCCCCTGGTCACAGCCGCAGTACGACGCCTCCAGGGTGTAGGCCCGGTTGACGCCGAGCTCCCTCCACACCGTCACCCTGGCCGTCGCCTCCCTCGCGCGCTCCACCCGGTAGCTGCACGACGACAGGCTGAAGGCGGGCGCCACCAGGGACATGAGCTGGGGCAGGACCTGCGGGCAGTACCAAGGCCGGGGGGTGGGCGTCAGTCAACGAGGGGAACGGACGCGGACTTCCCTCCAACTGCCGGTGCCGGTGCGCGGTGGGCTGCCTGCACCGCGGGACGGGCGCGCTGCCCGCCATGCGAGCCGGTGGAGCACGATGGGCTGCCTACGCCTGAGGCGCCCGCCCGGCCGAAACACACCGGGCGTGCACGACGGGCTGCCTGCCTCCCGGGCGCCCGCTCCACCCTGATGCACCCCGGAGGCGCGCGCTGGGTTGCCCGGACTCACGGCGCGCGCGCACGCCAACTCACTCTACTCACCGCGTACTCGGCGGGGTTGTCGGGCTGCGCGCGGTCCGCCGTGGACCAGCTGTCCGCCCGGGAGCAGCCGTACACGAAGATGTTCTTCTTGCGCGAGTGGCCGTGAAAGTCGATGAACACGAAGGGCGGGCGGCGCTGCACGCGGGTCAGGTACTCGAGCAGGCCCTGTTACATGAAGAGAAGGGAGGAGAGGTGACAACGGGCGACGACGACGGGTGACAACTCCGGGCTCGGGCCGCAGGTTGCGGACTTGCTGACTTCCCTACCTTGGTGTGGTAGATGGACGGATGAAGCTTGGGGTCCGGCTTGCTCCACTTGCGGTTCAGATCGTCGTTTGTCAGGCCACAGCGATGGCTACAAAAATACAAACAAAATTGGTAGGTATACTTTGAGTCGACTTCCAGACACTTAGTCAATGATGTCACGCCCAGTCGCACAAATGTTTGAAGTCGAGGGTGAATAAGTGAACTTAAGAAGAGACTATCCTTCGCTTCGCTTCGCAGTGAACCTGCCATGGGAACCGCTGCGGGCTGTGGATGTGGGAGGAAACGGTGCAAAAATTTGACTGCATAAATCGTTTGGCCCGCCTTCTCGCCTCGGTTTAATTGTGCCTCTGGACAATAAAACAGATAGGGGAGAGGGCGCGTACATAAATCAGGCTGGGTCTTTATATCGCTGTTCTGGCAGCTCCCGCTTCCTCCGGGGGAAAGACGAAGCCGTGACGAGGGGGAATGGGCGATCTTATACGGACTCAGAACTAAATCTGAACTCGAACCTAACATGCAAGCTTTGTTTTTTTTTGTTGAATACACATTGTAACGCCAGTCCCGCAACGATCCTTATTGTCACTCAAAGCGTTTTCTTGAAGTTTGCGTGGAGTTTCTTGCTTGGAGTTTGCAGGAGGACTCCAACAGCGACTTACACATAATATGTGCAGCTAATGTTGACAAGGAAGAGCCGCCCTCCCCTCTCTCACTCTCCTTCCCTGTGCCCCCCCTCTCTCTCTCTCTCTCTGCGGATCGGGCAAAAATAATTAATGGGAAACAACAACGGCCAAGCGATTAAGCGAGGAATGTACATGTATGTGCTGCTAGACGGAGGCACAGAGACGGGGAGGAAGGAGCACGGGGGGGGGGGGGGGGTAACTCTTTCAAAGCCAGCCCTCCACATGGCAGGGCTTATCTAGTAAAATAAACACGGGCCAAGAATGCCTTATGCCACATGCGCTAATCTGGCCAGGGGATCTCATGCCGCCTGTGCTGGACTTGGGCTGGCAGCGCTGGGCTGCTCCTCGCCCAATGGGCTTACCTTTCGAGGTGCCTGCTGCCTTGCCTGCAGTCCCGCCTGTCCGCCGGGTTCGATTCATTTTCATTTTGCATTGTTTGTCAGTCCGTAAAGCATTTCTACAACGACTGCTCCGCGGGAAATGTGCGCGCCGAGGGGGAAGAAGAAGAAGAGGGGGGGGGGGGGGGAGAGATATAGACAGAGGAAGAGAAAGAGGGTGGGGAAATGTGGAAAAGAGTCGGAGGAGGAGGAGGAGGAGAGGGGGTAGGAGGGGAAGCAATGCGTCAGTCATTTGCTGCTCCGCGTCAAGCTTTTTGCACCAGCCGGGGTATGCGGAGGATCGTCGTGTTCAAAAACGCGGCGGGATGGTCTCCAGCCGTCGCGGCATTCCCCAGGCGAGCAGCCGCGCACCATCCCCTCCCCTGCAAAACCTGGAGCACGCGGCCCACGGGACTTTGTAGCATCCAGATTTTCGGCGCATTTCGCCCAGGCGGGAGACAAAATCACCTCGAGAACCACTGATGTTAAATGTTTAGACCTCGTTTCAGACAGACAAATTTTAGGTAAGAAGGCTTCAAAATTTTCAGTGCTTCCGACTTGGCCACTGCGTCGGCGGTTACCGAACCGATACTAAACTTTGTTGCGATTGCGATCCGACGGGCGCGGCACGCCACGATCCCCGAAACTGATTGCAGAGCACTCGTTTATTTAAGGACAACCCTTTCCTGCCCTGCCCCATCATCATCACCGTCCAGGCCGCGATGTGCGCGGCGGGGCGGCGGGGCGGGCAGGGGCAGGGGGGACAACGAGCCCCTTGGCAATAAACCATCCCAAAGCATTACTCGCGTTCACTTGAGAGAAAAGAGGCAGTCTCCAATTCACCTCCGGAGAGCCTTACTCGTTTTAGTGCCATCGTTCTGCTGTTCTTCGCTGCCGCCGGCCTGCTGGGTGGCCGACGTGCCCCGCCCCACCCCGCCCGCGTCCAGGACCTCCAGTGACGTGCCGGCCCGGGGTGTCGAACTGACGTGCCGAGCGGACGTGCCGAGGCGTGAGTGAGTGAGCGAGCGAGCGCTTGCGAGGAATGCGCCGTCCTTGGGACAGCCAGAGCCGTGCGGGGCGGAGGGCGGCGAGCTGGGCGTATAGGGCATCCATCGGCCGAGTGGCAGGGCCGGCAGGGCTCTAAAGGCCTAGGGACAGCTTAGGGACAGCGCCTGAATGCAAAGGGCGGCCGGCCGGCGGCGGCTGACGAGGGAAGGACCGGCGCGGCGGACGGCAGGCTGTCCCTTTGCTCTGTCCGCGTCGTCGTTGCGGATAGCGGGGGCGAATAAAGGGGTGAGGGTGGACACCTCACTAAAAATAACAGTGTACATCTCCCATAAAATTTAAGAAAAACCAAGGAAAAGTGTCTAGAAAAAAAATCAGAAAAATTCAAGTTAAACCAGAAAAATTGGTGTACGCATGCAGTAAATTAAAGGACCCGTCTATCTATCTATCTATCTATCTATCTATCTATCTATCTATCTATCTATCTATCTATCTATCTATCGATCGATCGATCGATCGATCGATCGATCTATCTATCTATCTATCTATCTATCTATCTATCTATCTATCTATCTCACAGACTCCATTACCGCCGCCGCCTCTCTCGCACTCACGCCTCCGCCCGCCCCCATGGGAATGGCCGCGGCAGGCCGGCCGGGCGGTCCTGTCTGCCATGAGATAATTTCGGTCGGATGAATTGCGTTATCGCATGAGTTAATCTGTACTATTCGGCTCATCAGCAGCCGTGCTGCTTCGGGGCCCAAACAGGTTTTGACGCTCCCTCGCCCTGACTGATATCGACTTCGGGTTCAAATACCGCTGACCGCTGACAACACTGCAATTTTATTTTTTTTATTTCCCCGTAAACTATGTAAAGAAATATTATGGTCCCTGTTTGCAAATAACATACCTACTGATACTACCTCTAGGCTGTCCTGTCTATGGAGGCCTAAAAAATCACCCTCTGGACCGTTTGGGTACCAGGTCGGCAGATACGTCGAGTGCGTGAGTGTGAGTGCGTGTCTATATGTTGGAGTGCCGACCGCGGTGCTCGGCTCGGGCTCAGCGTGCACAACGCGCGCGGGCAACACAAGGAGCAAGAAGAAGCGTCGGTAGCAGGCGATATAGTAATGGCCCCGCGGTTACACATACACACACACACACAGACGCGCGCGCACACACACACGGGGCTCCCCCAGCCCGCGCTCGACGGGCGTACACGGCGCGGTGCAGGCGGCGGCGAGCGGCCGGGCTGCAAGGGATGGTAATATGAGGCCATCACCTCCGTGTCCTTGGGCCAAAGTGACTCACGCATAATGCCCGTCAGCCGTGCCCCGCCCCTCTCCCCGCCGTTGATTCTAGGAAGACGCGGCCCTTCCCCGCCCCTCCCTCCCCCTCTTCCCCCGCCGCTCTAACCCTTTCCCCTTCCCTTCCAATCGGCCTGTGTATGTTCAGTGTTTGCGTTTAGAGGCTGCGTAAATCTCTTCTCAGTAAAAATCTCCTGCCTGAGGGCCTTTATGGCTGCGGAGCGGGCGGAGGAGCTCCAGGTGAGGGGCAGAGCTGGGCAGAGCGGCGGGGGAAGGGGTTCTGCCCCGCCCACGCGCCTCGCCGCCCCCCGTCCCCCGAGCAGGGGGCGCCGCCGGGGGCGGCCTCCTTGCGGCGAAAGTTTTCGGCCGCGGGGGGTCGGGGGGCTGCTTAACGTCCTCAGCATTATGGCGCGGCTTTTAACGGCCGCATCGCCGGGGCGGATACGGATCCGTCAAGGAGGAGAGACAACTCAAGGAAGCAGGCGGGCGCGCGAGGAGCGGGGGTGTTGTTGGCCGGGTCGGAGGAGCCAGCCGGAGGAGCCAGCCGGAGGAGCCACAGGAGACAAAAGTGGCCAGAACGAGACAGAGTATCGAGCCGGAGCGAGTGGGGCTCCTCCCGTCCGTGTAATTGGATATCGCGCTAAACGCCACCGGCTTCCAGTCGCACGCCAGCTCCGCCAGCAGCATCAGTCCGGTCTACTACTCCCTGGCAGGGCAGCTGCCGCGGCAGCCTGCTCCTCCGGGCAGAGCGGGGAGCGCGGGAGCGGGGCGGCCGAAAGGGCATGCACCTCTGCTATGGGCAGTCGGCCTGGAGCTGGCCGAGCCGAGTGCGAACCGAGTGCAGAGGTGGCTCCGCGCCAGACGGGACGGCCTGGACGGGCCTGGACGGGCCTGGACGGACGGGCGGGGGCCAAGGGCCGGTGGCGGTGGCGGTGCTCCTCCGCAGGCTCACATTCCACCGGAGCTCCGACCAGCCCCGGACCAGCCCGGCTCCAGCCCGGCTCCAGCAAAACGCCAGGCCAAAAATAATGCCGGCGTAATCAGGAGGAGATTACCCGAGCCGGCTGGAGCCATGGGCTTGGAGCCATGGGCTGGAGCAGCGCCACTCGCCGCGCCCCGCCGCGCCGCGTCGCTCGCGGGAGCGCAGACTTTTGTCGCAGCTTCATCTGATGTGGCGGCGGCCGGCTGGGCCAGCCCCGGCCCCTGGCCCCGGCCCCAGCCGCCATCATCACGATCACGAATGACTA